GAAGAATAGAGGCAACATCATGTTTATTCTTCATCAAATACACCCATGTTAAACGAGTGCAGTCATCAATAAAAGTCACAAACCAACGGAAACCGTGAGAAGTCACACGAGCAGGACCCCAGACATCAGAATGTACTAACTCAAAAGGCAAAGCAGCTTTATTATTACTTAAGGGAAAAACAGTACGGTGGCTCTTGGCCATTACACAAGTCTCACATTTGAAACTAGACTCATCACATGAACTAAATAATGAAGGAAACAAATGTCTAAGATAACCAAAAGACGGATGTCCTAAGCGACGATGCCATAACCAAAGTTGGTGCTTGTCCTTGACACTGCCACTCAGAGCTTTATTAGCGACACAATCACGAACTGCTGCAGCCGGCAACTGTAAGTAATATAACCCCCCTATCCGTTTACCATGCCCAATCTTCTCGTGAGTCCTGAGATCCTGGAAAAAACAATGGGTAGAATAGAAGGTAGCAGAAGCGTTAAGTGTATCAAGTAAACGCCCAACAGATAACAAATTGCAATGAATATTGGGAACCAAGAGTGCATGAGACAGGGGTAAAGAAGGAGTAAGATGGATGGTACCTTCACCGGTAACTGGGGAAGGTAAACCATTAGCACTAGTAATATATGGGTCACGAGGGTTATGCAACAACTCATCAAACAGTTTATCATTATAAGTCATATGATCAGAAGCACCAGTGTCAATTATCCAAGTAGTAGAACCCATACCTGGCATAGTATCAGAAGCACACAGATTTGCAGATGGAGTTGGAGGACGGGCCTCATCAGGAGTCACAGTGTAAGTGGCCTTGGGACCATACATACGAGCTTTGTAGTCAGCAAACCAATCAGGGTAACCATGCTCCTTAAAACACTTTTCAGAGTAATGATCCCCATTACAATGGCGGCACTTAGGTGGACCTTCAAGAGAGGGGGAGGCAGAAGGACAAAACCCAGCAGAAGATCCAAACTTTTTTTGCGGCGGGCGACCGGTCGCTACTTGCGGGGCGACCGGTCGGTGACGTGCTGGATCCACCTTAAGAGCCAGCGATCCTCCTCCAAGCATAGCGGACTGACGGGTATCTTCCTCCATGACCATGGCATAGGCTTCGAGAGGGGGTGGAACAGGGCTAAGAGCAAGAATACGGCTACGAACACCATCATACGGTGGATCTAGCCCACCAAGAAAATCATAAACTCGATCGGCTTCAATTTCTTTCAGACGACGAGCCCCATCAGTAGAACAATTAAACTCATGCGGACGCAGACAATCAATCTCTTGCCAGATAGCATGAAGTTTTTCATAGAACACTTTCACAGATTCACCATTCTGACCTATAAGTATGGATTGCTGTCGGAGTTGAAACAAACGAGAACTATTCTGAGTCACAGTATAGGTCTTCCGAGCAGCCTCCCATATATCAAAAGCAGTATCACCACGTTCGAACAAGGCACGAACTGGTTTAGTCATGGAATTTAGAAGCCATGACTGCACCAGACAATTATCTTCTTCCCATTCGGTATAGTCAGCGGAGTCCTGAGACGGAGCAGGCTTCTTCCCATTGATCCAACTTGCCATACGACGACTAGTTATCGTAATACGCGCACCACGAGACCAAGAGGCATAATTGGAGCCATCCAATTTGTCAGATGTAATCGGGGTAGAGTAATCACGCGAGGGACGTGCCTCCTTCGGTGTAGATGCACTAGTACCAGTCACAACTATGGAATCATCACCCATGATAGATAGCAGCGGAAACAAATACAACACAAAGCAGATACGATAAACACAGCACAGGCACAGGCACAAGAACCCTAAAAAGAAATTAGGGCACAGAGTAGAACACGGCACAAGAACCCTAAAAAGAAATTATGGCACAGAGTAGAACACGGGTGGGCACAACACACACAGGTCACCAGAAACCTGGCTCTGATACCAAGTCAAACAATATGGTAGAATATTTTCATATATATTTCATTCTCCGAAAGGAGGTATTTATAATACAGGTTACAAACCCTAGTAGGGTTTAATTAGGAAATAAGTGGAATCCTAATTACATAATATCTACACAAAGGAAAAATAAATAAAACCCAAATAGAGTAGGACTCGTCAACAATCCCCCCCTCTACAGAAATGGCGTTTACACTATCGTTTGTATTTAATAAAATAAAGTAAAAGATTAAGCAATATTTAATTTTAGGCCATAGAAAAAAGAGCATTTACTCTCCGAGTCTAGTTAATTATAATTTGTTTCATCCTTGAATTAATTGAACTGATCAGATGAGCCACCACCAGGCTGTTCTCTGACCTTGTATTAAAATTCTGCGCCCCAATAATTTAATTTAATATCCGAACTACCTCATGTATTGCTCTCATCAGTACTGGGATACTGGATAGGACACCTCATGCATGACTACTGCCTGGGACTGGGACACCTTCTTATATATTCTTCTTGTCAATTACTAACAATATTGCGTTTTAGTTGAATCTACTCTATTTATCAAATTCAATTCAAGGGGATTTGAAGAGTTGTTTGCCCGTCACGATTGTTGTCTCCCCACTCGAATTATATTATCTCAGCCTTCAAATATATCAATAGTACCCAGGATGCGATGATTTCATCAGCTCACTCATTATATCTAAAATATTTGGAAAACTATTTAAAATTGAGAATATTTTTGCTCGCCACTCTTAGTTGGTGGGAAGTAAACACCACGTTAATAGTTTTTCAATAAGTATAATTTTTCAGATTCGTGTAAACATATAGATTAAATCACACTCATACAGGAAAGATGGTTTCTTTAAAGTTCGTATTGGAATGGGACTCCCAAAAAAAACATAAATTAATGTAAGCGAGATTTGTGTGTTTTGAACAAATACTTTAAAAATGATATAACAATTGGCTGGTGCTGTCATGCGCTCACCCTCTCTTCTATATAAGTGTAAGGATCTAAGTAGTTTTTTACAACATCAATTTGCAGTCTAGCACTAAGTACACTCCATCCTTCTATCCTATTATTTACGTTAACTTCATTTTGTGAAAATGTCTAGCAATCATGGTAAGGTAGAGACTGATGTTGAAATCAAGGCTCCTGCTACCAAGTTCCATGAAGTTTTCACACACAGACCACACCACATATCCAATGTCAGCTCTAACAACATTCAGGGTTGTGATTTACATGAAGGTGAATGGGGAACCGTCGGCTCTGTGGTCTACTGGAATTATTTCCATGGTAAGTAAGCCTCCCTATAGCTTCAATTAACATCAATTATATTATATATTATGTTCATGTCGTTTGATGTTAATTTCTTTCTTCAACTAAACTGGTTGATTGTTTCTGTTTTTTGGGTGAAAAAATTAATTAATTGTTATGCAGATGGGAAAGCTAAAGTTGCCAAGGAGTTGATTGAAGCCATAGACGCTGAAAAGAATCTGATCACTTTCAAAGTGATCGAAGGAGATCGGCTGGAGCATTACAAGAGCTTCAAGATCACCATTCACGCCACTCCAAAAGCTCATGGTCAGGGCAGCATCGTCCATTGGACTATGGAGTATGAGAAGCATCATGGTGATATTGAGGACCCGCATACCTTGCTCCAGTTTGCAGTGGATGTGTCCAAAGATGTCGATGCTCATCTTACAAGTGCCCAGGCATAATTAATTATAATCGAAGGCTTGATTGAGGCGGGCTTATAGGATCATCTGTGATTCTGTGTGCTGCATATATATATATATATATATATATCTACTATCCATTTGCTTTCTTGCTTGCAAAAATAAACGCCTTCAATCAATGTTTGTATCTTAAGTCTGTGTGGGCACTGGGCTACCTGAAACTTTCATTTACTTGTGTTTGCCGTCCTTATCTTATATGATATGGGCTATGTATCTTTTATTAATTCCAAGTTGGGGCTTTACCCATATAAAGCCATATTTCTACATACTCTTGTGTTTCTACATCTCTAATGTCCTCCATTGATCTAGCGGAGAGAGAGAGGGAGAGAGATTTTGGGTGTTTTTGCATGGTTACAGAGCTAGGTTTAAAGTTAGCTCGAGTGTTGAATAAAGCCATGTATTTATAGGAGCCTCGAAGGCTAGGGTTTCATAGAGAATAAACTCTTATTTGGAAGGAGTTTATTCTTTCCCCAAATTGTAGAGATTGAGTCCATTAGAGCTTTGATTGAGATCAAATCTCTTAATTTGATGATGATAATCTATATATATAAAGCAATAGGCAGAGAATGGTGAAACATTCAAAATATCAGAAAATGCTCTTGGTTAATTCAAACATTAAGAATTGAAATTATTAATTAAATGATGATAATACAGTAAATTCACATTTTTTCATATTAAAAATATTAAAATTAAAAACAAAATCAAATAATAGGTCATTATGGAACATAACTACCCATATTATCTTTTATTAATTCTAAGAATAAAATAAAACCAATTGGTGGGGCTAGTATCTCTTAATTAGGATCATATCTAAATTGGTGGTATTATCTTATTAAATAAAGATAATATCTCATATTTAAGATATTATCCTTATTTTTAGTATTAATTAATTGGTTAAATAAATGGACTCAATTAATTAACCTAAGGGATATTTTTCTTATCCACGTGGCGTCTTGTGATTGGGGACGAAAATGTTTGCTCCCACAAATGACCCCCGACTTCTGCATGACACTTGTGTGAAGTGGCATGTAGGAGATGAAAGATGAAATTATTTTTTGGGTTCTCCAACCACGTCTGGGATTTCTTCAATGAGTTAGACTCCTTTTTCAGATTGGATTCCCAATTGGAGTGGGCTTTTGACTTTTCTTATAGTTGGGTTCCTAATAAGAATAGGCTTACGATTCCTTCTTGACCTAGGATACCCAACCTATATAAATGCAGAGCTTCTCTTCACTTTTCTTCACATCGCAAACTTAACTTATCTATTTTCTTAGCTTAAGAGAGATCTTAGAGGAAGAAGGGATCCCGAGACGAATATTCTCTAGGGAGAAAAATCACTCCCACAGATATCTTTTCTTGTAGTGAGTTTTGGGAGAATTCGCTTCCATTCATCCATTTCTTGGCTTAATTTAATTGAAGATTGCCGCAGGTAGATTAATCAAATTGGCAATGTTGTATTACCGATGTACATGAGAGGGAAAAATTTCTGCTGATACTGTGGCTAAATTAGAATTTGGAAGATATGTTGATTTTCAACTATAGATTGAGCTTCTAGGAAGTGTTCTCTCAATTTTGCAGGATGATGAAGCTGGAAGTTCTCCACGTAGAATGATAGTAAACTATAAAAAATTAAAAATGAAAAAGATTTAATTACTGATCATCAAAACAACAGTCAAATATAGTATATATCATCAGAACGAAAGACTAATGATCTTATTATGTTCAAAAAAATTCCAAGGTTGATGAAAGTAAAATATGAACCTGCTCGAAGATGTCGGTCATAGACTCACAGGAAACTATAACATTATGAAGGAAAGCTAATCTCAGACCTTGTCATGTGATACATGTGTTTCTTTGCAGATTGGCGATCAAAAGATCGTGCTGTCATTCGACAATATGTCAGAAAGTTATAGAAAATCTTTATAATTGCAGGTCAATTTTTTGTATTGTATTATGGCTTTTTATCACAAATGGTCCTTGACGTTTACGAAATTATCACGAATGGTTCTTGAGGTTTTTTTGTGACACTAATAGTTCTTAACGTTTGGACTTTTTATCACAAATGATCCCTGCCGTCAAAAATTCTGTTAAGTGTATGATGTTGAAGATAAGTGGAGCCCACATGTACAATCACATCGTGACATGTGGATTAAATAAATAAATAAATATATTTTTTTTATGAAAATCCATTAAAAAACCATTAATTAAAGCATTGACATAAAAAATGGAAGCCGTTTATTCTTTCAGATATTCTGACTAATTGGATTAATACTCCATTTACGACTTATGTTTAATTTTAGGCCATAGAAAAAAGAGCATTTACACTCCGGGTCAAGTTAATTATAATTAGTTTCAGCCTTGAAATAATTGAACTGATCAGATAGGCCACAACCAGGCTGTTCTCTGACCTTGTATTAAAATTCTGCGCCCCAATAATTTAATTTAATTTAATTTCCAAACTACCTCATTTATTGTTCTCATCAGTACTGGGATACTGGATAGGACACCTCATGCATGACTACTGGCTGAGACTGGGACTGGGACACCTTCTTATGTATTGTTCTGATCAATTATTGACAATTGCATTTTAGTTGGATCTACTCTATTTATAAAATTCAATTCTTGGGGATTGACGCAGCAAGATATAAAAGATAGGAGAACAAATGATAACTCTACAAATAAAAATGTCAAAATTCATCAATAAATTGGAATTTACTAGAGAAATTGAGTAAACCTCAAATATATTGATTGAAAAATAAGATGAATGATTCAAGATGCTCCAACGCATTCCTTTTATACAAGAGAAACCCTAAACTTGTTTGGAAAGTTAATGAGAAACCCTAAACTCGCTTGGAAAGCTAATTAGAAAACAAAAAGGGAAATAATAAAAGTTTCCCAAAATATTCTAAAAGCTTTAAACGCTGAAAAGTCAAAGTAAATGACAGAATTTGGCTAAAATATCTCATACGTCACAGTAAAGCAGTGGGTTGCATTTTTCAAACCGTTCTCTTCGAAACGATAGGTCATAAGCCCAATTCTGAGCTCAGGGCCCATACTTGCATAG